GACCACATTTTACTCTATGATGTTTACTGCCAATATTCAGTGCTATTGTGGTGAATGAAAGACGATATCGATACTATACATGCATGCATTGACCAAACTGGGCTCTTTATCGAAAGGCGACCATAAGGCGATGTTATACGAAACGATGCTCAACGACAATTCGCAATGTACATGAAGTTACGCGAATTTTCATTGGTGGGTACTTAGGAAAAACTATTTCGTAATTCAAAACGAAAAGTGAAATTTTGCATTTTTAGTCAACATAGTACATAGTCATAGCAATTTTAAAATTTCAAAATCAAACTGAGATCTGCAAGCTATGTAGTCTTGTTCACCAGTGTTTAACTGACTATACGAAAATACCAGTGGCGACAGTTTGTAACAAAAAACACAGCTGTTAGAGTGCGGTGACTTTCTGAAAGTTGGTCGATCGTCTATGCCGACTTAATAAAGTGTTGATCAGAATTCCTATGTGAGATTTATACGAGTTACAATAAGAAAATTAAACATCATAGTTAGGTACATAACATCACAAAGTTTAATCTTTGATTAAACCCAACTAATACGACAGATCGATTGTAGCCCATATAGGAACCGCAATATGACAATGCAAGTGGTCGAAATATACAATTCCAGTAAAATATTCGTCGTTTCATCGGTTTTTGACCTTAAGGTGGCTCCCTAGGGTTTTATTTCCGGGAGTTACGTTCTTCGTATATATGTAAACTAAACTCGTGTGACTTCAAAATACGAACGAACGTTGTGTTTTATATGGAACTCTTTTTTGAAACAAAAGTGTGAACTTTGCTTTAGTTGAAAGCATAAAAGAGTTCTAAAAGCCAAAACGATACTTGGATGTGATGTTTCAAAAGAAGATAATGTAAACTTGTTTTTTTTCAAGCGGTATTCTGGATGTTTTTTGAACCGCCGTACGCGAGGTTCGATCGCGAACATTGGGATATGATATAAAGTTTCCTCAAGAATTTGCAGTGTTTTCTCCACAATCTAGCAGCACTTATGACAATAAAGATGACTTAAATAATGAGCCCCTACGAGTGAAATGAGCAGGGCCGAAACTCCAAACATACCGCTATAAAAACTGAAATTTGAACGGGCATTTTGCGAAAACATCCGACGATAGTACTAACTCACACGGGACGAATTTTGACAAACATTTTTCAAATTAATACCAAGAAGTCATAATCAGTAATTACCTAAATATATTTGCCATTTTTACATGTATAATCCACGCTTAGTTGACCATTAACCGACACAGTTATAAACAGTATATCGAACATAATTTATATTTTGTGATTTCAAAAAAGTCATGCCTTGTTGTTTTACGCAGAATGCATGTACACGTCAGTTGGGGTATTAAATTGTTCGCGTAAAAATCTAGTAAAAATTGCCAAAATTAAACCCAAATTTCTCCGTTTTCCTTCGGTAAAATTTTTTAAAACTTTGCACATTTTTTAATATCGGTACAACAAGTGCAATATCCTTTTTTCTTAAAATTAAATCGAAGGGAAAATTTTTAATATTGATTTTTGACGTTTTTTAAATTTTCTAAGAAACGTATCGATTTAATTTTTTTAAATTGAGGGAAAAGAATCATTATACAAGTATTATCTTCTATGCAAAGTTTTAAAAAATTTCACCGAAGGAACTTTTTAAAATGACCTGAAAAAGACAAATTTTGAGCTTTATTCTAAGCATGCTGTTGCCATGACAACATATTTTTAACACAAAAGTAGCAATTTGCAATGTTCAGGAGAACATTGTCAATGTGTCCAATAAATTTCGTTTTCATGTCATGTAAAGTAAAGTAAAGAAACAGGAGTCTCCTGAATACTATAGTGTAGTAAATTAAAAAACCCTAGGGAGCCACCTTAAAGGACAATGGCAACATGAACTTGAAATAATTTGAGTGACTGAAGGCAATGAGCTGTCCGCCATGTTGGATTGTTGAGGATGAGGATATGCCATACCTAGATTGCTGACTCGGCTCAACCGGCGTGACATATTTTGAAAATCCAAGATGGCGGCTCAACAGGGCAAAAATCATAGAGCGAGATAGGGAAAAACCATGTTTTTTTCATTTTGCGTCGTCCTAAAGCTTCCGATCGCGTTCTATCACTTTATTTTGGAAAGAACTAACTAGTGTGAAGGTTTTGGATGAAAATTTGTACAATCAGTACAATTTTATACCATGGTTAATACAAATTACGATTCAACCGGGCAAGATTGGGCAGGCCTGCAGTTTCGCGCGGTTTTCGTCTTTAGTTTCTTCCTGTGTATTCCTTCAGTCTTTTACGAGTTTTTCTCAAGTAATATTATATATTTCTAACTATTCCAAAAGCTATTACTGTTTATTTTGTTCTTTCATTGTTATTTCGACCAAAATACAGTATTTTCATCTGAAAATTCTAGGGTTTCTATTCCATCTGGGGGGTTTTTTATCGAAAAGAATGCTTGAAAGTCGGCCAGAATCGTGTTCAGTGTATTACTACAAGACAGACGTGGGATGTTATTCGATTTTCCTTCCATAAGTAAGTCTATGAAACACACACACATCACATACTTGTACACTATAAGTCTATAACTTACATCATATAAACAGAATAATAATAGAATAAAAAGAATTTGTTTTGTAAATACTGTAATGACAACGTCACAACAAATGTAGTTTTGAGTTTGGCAGCTACAATATACAACTATTTACAGTTTTAATAAAAGAATATTAGACCAAAAAAGAACTTCTTGTTTTGATGTCTGTGTTAGGAGAGTCTCTCTCTCTATATATGCATGTTGACAACAACTTTCCTTGTCCTGTTCAAAGTCAAAAATGTTTTAGTTTTGTTCACATCAGTGAACCAAAAATACATCTTTCCCTTTGCACTATTGGATTTCCTATAACCAATCCCAGCCTGCTAAAAAATGAAATGGGCAGACTCAATGCCAATCAAATATTCATTCTTGTGTGAGAAACACTTCACACCGGAGGATTATACTTCACACCCGATGATTATATTAATCCATGGTGTTGCAAGGTGCCCTACTTTATTATTTTACTCTGTCTAACGCCAGACAATTTTACTCATCAAGAGGAGAGCAGTGGCACTTAATGGGTTAACTGGCCTACCTGCAAATGTGTATAGTTAACCCATTGAGTCGTTTTGTGCCCTACTTAATTATTTTACTCTGGCTACGCCAGACAATTCTACTCGTAAGGGGAGAGTGCTGATGCTTGGGTTAGCTGTCTCAAGGGGAGAGTGTCCAAGGGAAGAATGCCGACTGCAGAGAGCAATCAATAAAATGCCAATCCAAGAAATATCTAAACGAAGATGCCGTCCCATCTATTTTTGATTATCAATGATGAATCAATCAGGTTTCTTGGAGAGAACTAGATACTAACTGTGAAGGTTTTTGATGCATACCAGACACATTAGGCAGTTTCTTCAAACTAGTTTCCATTGAAAACTTTCGTTGTCACTAGTTCTCTACAAACCTGATTGATTCATCACTTTTCACTGTCCAGGCCCTATAGACTTGAGATCCCTTGACAGGCCCTTGACATCTGCAGCAGCAAGGAGGTTGTCAAAGTCACACTAAACAGAGCATCAGAATTTTCGCACCAGCAGACCAAATAAATCAAGTAAAATAGGCTTTAACTTCAAAATACTTCACAGAATCATTCCTTGTTAAATATCCCAACCGAGATCCTCGTGAAAAAAAGCACCCAAAGAACCAAAACCTTTATTTTCTGCAACAAAATGTCTCGAACTGCTCAACCGACCATTGTGACGATTTCAGAAAACATTTAGCGATCGATTATTTCGTCTTTATTAAACTTAAATTGCACAAATATTCATCCAAACCCTTCACACCAGTTAGTTCTTTCCAAAATAAAGTGATATAACGGGATCGGAAGCTGTAGGACGACGCAAAATGCAAAAAACATGGTTTTTCCCTATCTCGCTCTATGATTTTTGCCCGGTTGAGCCGCCATTTTGAATGCTCATGAGTGTCACGCGCGTGCATTATATAGAAAACATTAGAGTCAGCAATCTAGGTCTCCTATATATGCATATTACGTCAGAAGTGGGTCACACAAGTTGTTTTTTTATTTTCATTTTGACGGCCAGTAGTGATCAATACCCACTCCTGACGTCATCAAAACGATAGTTAATGAGGTTAGAATTATTCCAAGATGGCGGACAATTTATAGCTCTCAGTCAAAATATTTCAAGATATGAAAAATCTGTAACAACATTTTATAGATACTTTTAAACGTTCTTTCAAGTGAGACAATAAAATTTTTTGTTGCCATTGTCCTTTACAGTACATGTACATGCATTATTTGGTCCCCTTCTTGTGAATCACAGAATTGTAACGACATCCGACCTTTGTATTAGTTTATAGCTGGAATTAGCTCCACGTCCATTGATATCTGCCATTTCTTGCACTGTCCAGACAAAATGACTACCGTATAGTGTGTATAGGCGCCTATAACATGCCGGAATACAAAAAAAACCCGTTTCAGGTTATTTTTCATCTGTTTCATCTGCTGAAAGAGTGAGACTCCATATTCTTTATTTTCTATTGGTATAGATGACAAGCAGCCACGAAAGTACGCCTCTTTTGGCATCGACAAGGCTCTCAGATGGATCATTTCGATGTCATGATCATAGAAACGGAGGAAGCCAATCTGAAGATGAGAATGTTGTGATGTGCCAGATACCGCAGAAAAAAGCGAAATACTTAACGTAAGAGATTTCAGATTTATTTTTTAAACACAAACGTGCAGTTCCTATTGAATATCCTGATCTCTGTCCTATGCTGCAGCGATTGATTATTCCTTTGCTTTAAACTGACATGTTTTCAATAAATTTTATGCTAATGTTTAAGATTATGAAGATTTTTTCTCTAGAGACATACAGGCATTAATGCATCTTCTGAAAGCCAGTATTGGAATTGGCATTCTGGGACTGCCAAAAGCCCTAATGAATGCAGGCATTGTGGTATGAGCCAATTCTCTAATATATCTTAAAATATCATTATAAGAATTATTTTTATTTATTTATTTAAAATGCTTTGCAATTACAAACAATACGAATTTACGATACTGACAATACATACACTAATACATGGCTGGGTTATCATCACAGCTTCGTAGGATAATATCCACGGGAGCCAATTACGATGAGCCCTGATATACTTCTAAGTTACATCACTGGTTACATTAGTTAAAAACAGCACGGTTTTTGGAGAACGTGTGCTAGTTCTCTGTTCGCGTGACATTTCACGCAGTTCGACTTTAAAGTTACAGCATTGTCGGGATCGTAGACATCTCTAAGTAGCCCGTTATATTTCCTCGTGAGACTACGTTTAAAAGTAGCAGCGCTTTGAGACAAGTCCCTTTCAACTGGTGTTAGACTGTTCCATACTTGTGCGGACAAAAAAACTGTTCTGGAATGATACTGTTTTAGCACGAGGTATCTCGGCGAGAACACCTGACTGAGGGTTATTATGACGCGAAATACGAATTTGTTGTTTAATTTGGACCAAGCCATTATTGTCGAGAAAAATTTCTCCCTTTAATGTACGAAAGTAAAAAACCAAGTCAAAAATTTCTAGCCAGTAAGTAAGTGGAATTGATGACGAAATTCCGTGACGGTTCTGTCAGTATCAGTAAAGTCGCATATAGAGATATCGTCCTGAGGCCGGTTGTATAACTATCAAAACCGCATATTTTAGAGTTAACTACTATTTAACTACAAAATAGTATAAATGTTTAGATGTATAATTTGTATTCCCAATAATATAAAGCATCTACTAAATAATTTTATAAATCGTTTGCTTCCGATCTATCTCATTTACTATGGCGAACTATAGTACTTGCGTCATAATATAGATATATAGATAATGCAGCGCTAGCCTTATGAATTATTGACCTTCTGCTTTGTTTTAATTTTGCTGGCGGGCACATTCCGATTCTTCAATGGATGAGGCGGAATCTTGGAGACACATTCCCAAGACTAACGCTGAAAAAATATTTCAATTTCTGTTTTTGTGTTGGTGTTGTGTACTCAGGTGAATACGATGTTTGTGATGTTACTCTGAGTGTGTATCAACACCGGGCAAGCTTGAAAAATATGCCTCACCACGGTGGGAATCGAACCTACGACCTTCGGAATACTAGCCCAATGCTCAACCAACTGAGCTACGCGGTCAGGTCGGTTCGAGTATGCGATATTTCGGAACTGAGTGTAGTTCCTTCGACATCAATGCAATTTAATTAATCATGATTTTTTGTGTTGGTGTTGTGTACTCAGCTGAATATGATGTTTGTGGTGTTACTCTGAGTGTGTATCCACACCGGGCAAGCTTGAAAAATATGCCTGGCCACGGTGGGAATCGAACCTACGACCTTTGGAATACTATGACAATGCTCTACCGCGTAGCTCAGTTGGCAGAGCGTTGGGCTAGTGTCCAATGATCGTAGGTTCGATTCCCACCGTGGCCAGGTATATTTTTCAAGCTTGCCCGGTGTGGATACACACTCCGATCAGAGTAACATCGCAAACATCATATTCAACACAAAAAATCATGATTATTAGATTACATTGATGTCGAAGGAACTAGACTTAGTTCCGAAATATCACATACTCGAACCGACCTGACCGCGTAGCTCAGTTGGCAGAGCATTGGACTAGTAATCCAAAGGTCGTAGGTTCGATTCACACCGTGGCCAGGCATATTTTTCAAGCTGGCCCGGTGTGGATTCACACTCAGAGTAACATCACAAACATCATTTCAATTCCTGTTTAGAATTGAAGTTCCGTATTCCACATCACGTTTTTAAAAATCTTTAATCCGCTAAGCAGGCAACTAAAAAGTCACATTCCATAAAAAAAATTAAAGAATTCCCCATTTCAAAACTCCGCCTCATCCCCCGCGATAATACAAAGGATCACATGTTTTCCAATGTATACAACAATAACGACGTTCTCTTAGGAGATTTCTAGAAACAGTTTCCTGCCAAGCGAGCTGAAACGCACAAAGGCAAGGAGTTGAATATGTTAACAATATTTTCAAATTAATTTTAAGGTTGGACCCTTGCTACTAGCGCTAATCGCTGTCGTAACTGTTCACTGTGTACATCTGCTGGTAAGCTGTTCAGAACGCCTTTGCATCAAGTACGTAAAATATTTATAGTCACTAAGGGACCGGTCATTAATAATGGGAGGTGGGGTGGTGGGTGAGAAAAGGGGTGCAGCTTCAACTATTTTTCCCTGAACTGGGGGCGGCCTCAAACTGAAAAATATGTGACAAGGGGCAACCCCAATGTTTTAATACTTTCCTACTCATTTTTAATCTCTCGCCTTTATCGTATCCCGCAAAATATTTCACTTTCTTTAGCTCTTATAATCGTAGTTTCCATAGTTTATTACGTATTGCAGTTCACCATAGCAGTCGGAGTAAATAACAACCATTTTGAATAATGGTCCTTAATTATTTACACTACACAATGTCTTACACCAGTACTTGTCCCATTACCTATTTTACACCAAAAAATGTAACGATTTAAATGTTGGGAGGGGGTCCTAAATTTTCTAGATGAAGGTGGGGGCGTCTTGAAAATAAAGGTCTTGTTCAATATTTGATATTTATCACCCATGCCCCCCCCCCATTATTAATGAACGGTCCCTAAATTTAAAAAGAAAATAGAAATATAACACAGTATATATCAAATACACTTTTCGTCATTGGGGGACTGGTACCTAATCTTGAGTTTTCGCGCGAAAATGTTAAAAATCCCAGGGCTTATAGTCGGAGGTTTACGGTATTTATACTTGACGCCATTTTGAAGCTGATGTCAACAGATTGACCTTTGTCCCCGACGTGATTTTCGACCAATCAAAATCCATCTAATTTTGAGAGCTGGATGTCAAAATTTAAGAGGTGGACATCAAATTTTGAGAGGTGACCAGCAAAATCGCGAAAACAGGAGGTGAAAAGCGGCTAGGCGGCCAATCAGAACACGATACGCGACATATTTATGGGACAATCCAAGATGCCCCTTTGTGGAGGGATGTTGTTCAGTTCTCACGTAGAGTCGAGGGATATCAAAATTACTCTCTTAATTCACTTTTCTTGAACCGAGTGTTGTTGGTGCAGGTATTTCAACAAATGAAGAATCTCATTATCTTTCATTGAATTTGGCACCAACATGGCCGCTACTATGTTATTGTTTTGCAAGTCAAGAATATTCTAAGGTCTGGAAGAACGTGCTCAAAACAATAGGCCTCGGTTCCCTGGCCTATTTTGCAATGTTATTTTCCAAATTTAAGATAATTATTTTTCACGGTGTACATACAATTACTCGTCGATTACTGCTGTATAGCATGTTCCCCAGTGAACAAATTTTTCTATTATACTTACAGAACTGGGAAATCAGCATTTAACTACGGTGAGCTTGCGGACGAATGTGTAACACAGGTGTATCCTGACTATCCGTATTATGGGAGGTAAGGTACAGTTGAATCCAGTGCTGTGAGTATCTTGTTACAAGTAACTAGTTTCATGTAATCGTTACATTTTTGAGAAACTGTAAGGGTAACTTTCAGCCACGCCATGGTTCGCAATCAGTATTTGTCATCAAAATGCCGTCACCATGTTCCTAGCTAGTGCGGTTATGAAAGGCATTCACCCCCCTGAACGTCATGTAAAAGAGTACCATTTTTGAACCCTTTGATGAATTATTTCGATTGGCTGGAAGTCAATTTAATTTTTACTGTCAAATTCAACAAATCATTTGTTATGTTTTCAGCACGATTGTGAACACGCTCATTTGTGCAACGCAACTGGGTGCCTGCACTGCATATGTCCTTTTCATCGCTGAAAATGTACACGATGTAAGTAATTACTGGCCACAATCGCCAGGGTCTCGATATCTACTGTATGGTTTGGAAAGGCTGTTAAATACATATGTGGAGTGGTATCATGAATATGCCAAGGGTATATGATTGAGGCAGGATTATATTTCGGCTGAGGGAACCAACAGTCCATAAGCGTACGAGGCGGGGGAGGGGGGGGCAGCTTCAACATCAAAGGAATATCTTCCATTTTCTGGCTTCGAAGTTTGCCGGGCTTCCAAACCATCACAGTTTGAGAGACTATCCTTGTTCTAACTCACAGTTCAGATTTTTGTGTTCATATATGGCTATAGAAATTTGCATTGAGAATGATGGGATGGCATTTAAATAGAGAGTGCATGATTATGCTTTTTTTTTCACCGCTTCTGGACCGGAACAAACGTCTGGACTACGGGGGGAAATCTTGATTAAATTATTGCACTCTCGCAATATCATGCAATCTGTGTCAGCTGAACATCTCTAATACGGAAGTCGAAGAACAGAGCAAAGTGTCTGTGTTGAAATATGCCCATTTTATAGAGATCACTGCGATGACGTTACAATTAGCACTCCAGTTTTAAGTGTTCAGTAACTAAATGCCCACTGGATGGACAATTATCGTTTCCATTTGTATTTACAATTGTTCTTATGGGAAATTTCCCCTTTTTATCCAGGTGATCTTGACTATTTAATCCTAATTAAGATATTTTACGAGTTTGAATGCAAAATGTTGATCAGAAGTACCTATGACGGAATGTAACCAAAGATTTTTATTCAGAGTCTTACGGTACCAATACAAACAATAAATACTTTATTCGTTGTTTTTGTAAGTTCAAGTTTAATGTTGTTATTTATAAAATTCCACCAACGACGTCTGCTTTCTTTCCCAGGGTATGGCTGAGTTGGACGCAGTTCACATAAAGACAAAATTATACATTCCAATCATCTTGCCTTTTCTCATGCTATTCTGTCTAATCAGAGATTTGGGGTCTCTAACATGGTTATCATGGTTTGCTAATATAATCATGGTCATCGTTCTCATATCAATATATCAATATTTATACGGTCATGTGCAGCGTCCCTCAGAATTAGAGAAGTTCTCAAGCTGGGGAGATTTGCCACTTTTCTTCGGCGCTACTACTTATGCCTTTGAGGCAATACCAATTGTAAGTATTCGTTAGAATTTTACTTATTTCAAGTTTGTGAGTTCACGACAACCAGGTATAAAATCAGTCATGTTTTTGCTCGCTTCTCTGCATGTTTATAAATAAATGAATGCAAAGCCCTGCAGTCGAATTGAATTCACGACCCAACGTCAGTTCGACACTCCAGTCTAGTATCTTCATCAAGGGTGATCTGAAGTAGCAACATGGCTTCTTATATACATAGGCGTACGGGGTTGATGCTTTCCAGGGGGGCAGTTGAAAGTTTACCCGAATTTTTATGGAGGATTGCCGAAATTACCTAAATTTAACCTATTTTCTGATAAATCTGCCCGAATTTGCTTGATTTTTCCTAGCATTTGCCCGACTTTCCATGGTTTTCCAAAATTTTGTGGGGGCAGTTGCCGCTGCCCCCTGTCTCGTACGCCTATGCTTATATACTATAGAGGCGTGGCATATAAATTAGTAACCATTTTTGAATAGGGATGACGGTGCTTATTTGCCACATGCAAGAATATATCCATCTTGTTGGCAGATGACATCATCCCATGGCCATGGGAATATAAGAAGTCACGTTGCGACTTTAGATCATCCCTGATGAAGACACTAGACTGGAGTGTCCATTAGAATGCAATTCGAATGGGCTTTGCATTCATTTATTAAAACCAGAGAAGCGATACTTTTTATAGGGGAATCGAATAACCACATTTTTGTCTCAAGAACAACAAAAGAAAAAAACTTTAATATCTAAAATATTTTTTCAATTATAGATTTTGCCACTAGAAAACCAAATCAAGAACGCCCGTCATTTCCCTCGGATAATTAACATTGGTATGGCTGTAGTGATAGTACTTTATTTTAATATGGCAATTTTTGGATACATGACATTTCAAGATGAGTGCAGGGGAAGCGTCACACTTAATCTACCAAACTCAGAGTAAGTTCTTTTTTCCTCTTTTTTTGGTGATTGGACTAGACAATAAAAGGTTACTATTAATAGGAACTCCTATCTCCGTTTTAGAAACTTTTTAGAAACAATTTAAACGTATAGTCATATGTAATCTATTTTATATAAAAAATTCTTATTTTAAAAATTTATATATTTATTTAAAAAAAATTCTGGTTTCTGATTGGCTAACAGCCAACTGTGAAATTGTCATATCAACTCATTGACTAACCAAATATGGATTTTTCGCATTCATATTAGCAAAATGACGTCAAAGAGTCAATATGAAAAAAATTTGGACGCGTTTGCACCATATTACTATGACGACGAGAATCATATTGACTCGCTGACGCCATTGATATGACGACGATGACGGCTGCCGAAGGACTAAGGAATTGTTTTTTTCTTAATACAAATAAAATACAAATGTTTTGAATTTTTTAAATAAATAATAAAACAATTATTGAATTCGGTTTTCGCACAATATGAAGAATTATCAAGCCCTCAGTTTGCCGTTATCAACCTCAGCCTTCGGCTGATAACCGCAAACTTCGGGCTTGATAATTCTTCATATCGTGCTCAACCTCATTCAACAATTGTTAAATATATAATAGAAGGCCCAGTGAATATATGTTATAGAAGGCCCAGTGTAAGATTAGCTATGCTAAACAGGTTAATTTGTAATACCTTCTTTAAATAAAGTCTATTCAGATTAATATTATCATTATCATTATTATTATTATACATTGGAGATTTTTTTCCAAATCCTTACTATGGAAATCGGGGAAGTAAGGAAATCCAAGTAGGGAAATCCAATTTTCATACTAATTACAATTTTCATACTATGAATATATTATGGAATAGTGTGCATATACTATGGATTTAGTTAGCAATTGCCAATTCCATAGTATGAATTTCACTATTTTTTTCCTCTGATAATGGCATTCATTAACTTAACATTGTCGTAAAAAATATTTGTGATTTTACACCCGCCATTTTGCTTCGCACAAATTATACATTTGAATTTAATTCCATCGGCCTCGTTATGAAGATTTGGGTTACATGAGCTATGATTAGGAAACGATTAAGATTTTGACGATTAAGATTTTAAACCCAAAGCGTGCAATAAAACTCTTGAATGTATGATTTTAACAGGTTATTTTAAACCTGTTAAAAAACGTTTCCCTGTTAGTTACTGTATATCCATTCGTAGACTTTCTATATGGCCCCTCTGTAAGTCCGCCTGTTCTGCAGTGCACCTATTGTAGTATAGAAAACAAACCCAAAAACTTATATCCCATCGCTCTTTACTCAATTTCACATTTATTCTTAGATATTATTCTACTATAAAGTTTCTGGTATCGCTGGCGATATTCTGTACGTACTACATTCAGATTTACGTCTTCTTTTATATCTTGGAGCCAATTGTGATGCGAAGAATTGAAGAAAAGTATCACAAACATGCAATTATCATCCTCCGTGTTTCGACTGTTTGTCTCACATGTAAGTTGAAATTTTGCAGTGATTTGAGCATGCACATTCACCTGCCACGCATGCTATTCTTACCAGATTAAAAGATTGGCGTCGCGAGTTTTTGTTGTTTTTTAATTACCAAAATCAACAAACAGCGATGAAAATATTTGGTTGTTTGGTAAATCAGATGACATTAGCGTCGATTCCGAAAGGATTCTTTAAATATACGACGGATTGCAAAAAAACCATTTCGGGCAGATCAACTGATCTACTCAGCCCATAAAATGGCCGCAAGCAAGAATTTGAGCCCGCAATACCATGGTGTGACCATAGAGATTATAAAATAATAGAGTGGGCATTGCAAGAAAAGTTCAGGTCAAAGAAAGGGACAAATTGAAACTGCTAGTTGAGGGCAAATTTGAGTGATACCCGGATGTAAAACCAAGAAAATCTATTTTTCACCTTTTGACTACACATTTCAAGTATTCAATCTGGTTTTATCGACAGTCCTGGCTGTTTTACTTTTATTTGTGGCGACAAATTGAGGAATTTCCGTTTTATATCGTGGAAATTTGGACGTGCCGACGTTACTAAGAAAACACCGCTCTTCAACATCGAAAAAAAGCACTTTAAAACATTTATACCGTTCCAAAACTTGTTTTGTATTAATTAAAGTCCAGGTATACTTGTTACACCAGGTATACCAGTACATAATCGTACATTTACTCGCTCATGTAAATGACACAATGCAAACGTGTAACAATTAGCAAAGCAATATTCAACAACAAACGACCGGCTTGAAGGGCTTGTATATTGGATTTTGAAATTCCATTATATTTTTCGGGATTTTCTCCAAAATATACGGGAATTTTAAACTGATATAACTTAAATGATGTCATAACAATATGAATTAATTTTCAGGTGGTATGGCAGCAGCAGTCCCACATTTAAATGACATTGTTTCGCTGGTTGGAGCCGCTGGTGCCTCTTTACTTGCATTTGCATGTCCGACAGTTTTTCACTGGATAGTCTTTTCGAACGAAACTACACGCTTGCAAGCTGCTAAGAATATATTTATCATAGTATTTTCCATTATTGGATGTGTTACTGGAACTTATGCGTCGTTACGGAATATGATACAAGACAAATAAAGTTTTAGGACGCTGTAAAGGTTAATATATTGATCAAGAGATAATTAAGCAGAAATTGTTCTCAAAACTGAACAGTCTTCTACTGCATAAATCATATTTGTTATGTAGTTAGTGTCAAAGACAAAGTTCAATTTTTCTGTTTGCCGATTGGTCAAAACCGTGTCACGTGCCGGTCCACAAAACGCAGTGTTCGGCAACCGGTCCGCAATCAAACATTTATTGACCGGTTAATAATAAAATGGGTGCAATACGCTTGCGTGTCAACCATGAAGTTCCAAAGTTCATTTTTAAAACTTTTTACTAAACATTTACGGCGTTCCATTTATCCAGTTTTGGTTTCAAATCAGTTAAGTTCACTCCAATAACCGGTGAATTATTCATACTTTGACACTTATATACTATATAACAAAACACTTATTTACTGAAACCTCGGGAAAGCAGTGTGTTTTGTGGCCCCTCGACTCGGGTCCACAAAACACACTGTTTCCCTCGGTCTCAGTAAGTAAGTGATAAATATATAACCACGCCTTCGCTTGTATCAATTACTCATGTACATATATAATTTTAATTAATAATCCTCATTGAGTAAAGATTATATTTAGCAAAGAGTATAAATAATTATAGTTGTTTTGAGCGGGTTTTTTTAATAATGCTCCCACAGTGACTCAAGATTTTGAGTAAAATTACTAAAATTATGAGCAAATTTACTCGTAATTTTTAAAGTAAAGTTTCAAATTCACTCAATTTCAACTACAAAAATGAGTAACCAAACCGTGCAATGAAATAGAACGTATATAGTACAAAAATGGACGGCTGAACGTGCAATGGGACGCGTTCCATTGCGGGCTCAGTAATTTTTTAATCACGTATCATAACCAGCCAATTAAATTACCACAATTTAATAAGGTTTTGTATAGGGACTGTATATAAGGGACTGTAACTGTTTCAGCCTTGTAGTGATAACAGTCCATTGATCTTTCCACTCTCTCATGTTCATGCCATCCACTGTTTCCCACGGCACTAAGTACTGGGCAGGTTGCTCCCACCTAAAACACAGGAATGAAGAATAGAGAATCAAATTCAATTACCTCCTGTCCTGTAGGCCGGTGTAACGTGGTAATACAAAGGTGTAACTTGGTAATTTCAAACACAAAGTGCGGACAATTAAAAAGGTTTTTTTTAAATTTGTACGAATATTTTTGTAATTTTTTTTGCTTGTGTCGATAATTTTTTTTTAAATATAGTCCCTTGCACGAATTTTCTTTTATTTCAACTTAAAAAATTCATTAATAATTCACGAGGAAAATACAAATTAAAGAAATGAATGTTTGTAAATCGGATAAAGATTTGTCCTGATTTACATAAACTTCAGCTTTGATTTTCTCGGCTTAGATAATGTTTATTTTTAAAATAACTTCGCCAATGAACTCATAAGATGGGTCATTTTTAAGTACGATAAGATCGGCTGCTCATGTTTTATCTAGTACTTATAATTTGCCCTATTGAAAAGTCTCTGCACCAATCCTTTTTTCAAACTTTCTTGGTGCACGAATTTTTTTTTTCTGTTTCCTCTGCGCGATTTGTTTTTGGTCCCCCCCCCCCATCCTCTTTCACTTTTCTAATGGGCCGCTCCAGAGGAGGAGTGAGGACTATACCGGTATGCAACGCGGTTTTTTAAATATCGATTTCTCGCTCTGCGCCGTCATTGTTCGGTCGGCTTTCGCTGTGCCGGTACACCTTGAGGTTTCAAAAGATTCAGAAAAGATTTATCGAAAAAAAATTGTAAAATGGTGGATTTTTGCACTATGCATGGAAAGAAAGCTTCGTTTTTGGGTGGACACGAGCTTCTGTGTGTTCACTGTGTGTCAAAACAGCCTTTAATCTTGATTCCGGAAGAATTACCGTGTGATGAACTTGAATGTCGTGAGGTTCATGTTTATAGTTTTTAATACAGATAGTTCGAAGAATAGTCCTTTGTCCAGCTGTGGTTAACGGGATAAAAATTGATGAAATGTTCGCAGATTGCGGTAGTCCTCCACTGGTACAAATTCACTCTAGTTGTGTTTTTAAGGTGAGATGATTTTTATATAAAAATATAAATATAAAAGTGCTCCTATGTTGTATAAATACAGCAGTATTAAACGTATTTTTATTTCATATCATGTAGTTCTTCGACCCTAATGATCTACGGGAAGGAGGTATAAACAAAGAATATAGCAATGTTATGTTGTGGGAGTTTGACATTTCAACATCACCAACATCTAAAGCAATCCCACCATGTGACCCAGATAGTCAAGATGATGAGCTGGATAGTGTACTTCCACCAACAGAATTACATCAGCCAACTGATTGTATAACTGTTTTAATTTACCAATAAACTCTGTTTGCCCTGACAGACATTCATACACACCGAATGATGGAAGAAGCGCCCAGTGGTTAGCATTGTTGTAAAGAATGAAATGGAGGAAATTCAACACTATCGCAACACTATATATAAATGTATTGACTACTGTTTGATGCATTGCAAGGATTTATACTGATCAACCAGTTCTCTATGCTCAAATGATCAACCAGTTGTCTATTATTTTACTCTGTCTAACGCCAGATTATTTTACTGTCTAACACTAGACTATTTACTCATCAGGGGGAGAGTGCTGACACTCAATGGGTTAAAAAATATTGAAAGAAAATGTTTAGCAGAAGCTGAAAAATTGTTTATTGGTGTCTGGTGTAATACTGATATTTCTTTTATTTGTAAGGATAGAGCTGGGGAGCTTCTAATGGTACAGTCTTGGCCCTACCCCAGTTTTCCTGTACTGCATGTGTTTTTGTCACTTCCCTGATTATACCATAAGTATTGTATCCTATGGACACCATCTTATCAGTTCTGCAGTTTTTTGACTATCTACCGTAAACCTCCACCTAAAAGCACTGGGCTTACATGAGGAGGGGGGGGGGGCTTATACACGGGGGGGCTTATATTCAGAGTATAGTCTTCCCTTGCTCATCACAAATTAATAAAAAGATCACACACTACATAATTGATGTTGATAAAATTTATTTATTTTAAAATCGAAAAAATATTAACATAATATTGCTGTACTTAAAGATAATTAAAATGTTTTTAAAAATAAAATTTTATGCATACAATTTTAAAATATTGCACACATTCATTTCACCAGTACACATGGATGCTATATGATACAGTATATGAAAGGTGATGCTTTTGCTGTAGCTTAATGATGTATTAAAACAATCTAGAGGTATTACATGATTGGTAAACCTCTTCAATCGTAATGATTTGCATGATTTTCTGCAACAGATATGAATTCAATGAATGCTTTATCTTCCTCAAATGTCCATTTATGAAGTTTAACTGGGAATTTCTTTGGAGGAGTCGTTTCATCTTTCTGATAAGAAACTACAAAACAAACAGCAAAAGTGAGAGGGGCAATGTTAGTGCCAGCACAAATAGACAACAACAAAGAAACTCATGGATTTTTACCAGGATCCGGATTGTGTGCATGCTTCTCCAGGAAATTTGTGTACTATAGGTTTTCTGGAATGCCCAGCATTGAAAAATAATGTTGGCGTACGGGTGGATAGAAATTGCCCAACATTGTCATGAGTTTGTGACAAGGGTGGGTAGTAGCGAAGTAGTTGTAGTTCGCTACTGTAGCGAACTACAATTTTCAAGTAGCCAGTAGTTTTTGACTACTTTTTTAAAAGAGTAGTTGTAGTTATAGCGAACTACATTTTGCCTAAAAGTAGCCAAGTAGTTGACTACTTTTCAAACAGCAAATCGCTATTCGCTACTTTTAAAATTGTTAGCAATCGTTCATAGAATAGAACGATATTAAGACACGGTTTGCTTATAAGATTATTTTATACAGTAAAGATTATTTTAACGCAATGAAAAGTGGCACTCCTGAACACTGTAGTGCTTATAAATATGTTGCTTTAAACCTCTTTGTTTACTGTTGCTACTCGTAAGTCGATTTGTTGCAGGTTATATTACAGCCTGAGCTAGTGGATGCTCCAAATGCCGTAAAACTAAAAAAATAGAGTAGCGAAATAGCGAAATAGTTCGCTACATTTTTTAAGCAGTAGCTGTAGTCAGTAGCGAACTACCTTTGTTCAAAAGTAGCAGTAGTTGTAGCTGACTACATATTTTTGAAGTAGCTGTAGTTATAGCGAACTACAAAAATTTTGTAGTCAACCCACCCTTGGTTTGTGAACAAGAGGTATAAAATAGAAGGAATACATCTCCTATACAGACTAGCAGAAATACTGTTTAAAGTCAATCTTAAAACAATTGCCCAATTTTTAAAGCAGAATTCTGCCCAACTAAACACTGACTGGAGGGGTTGCAAGCCCCCACCAGCCTCATATGCCTATGCACAGAAATTCTCCCAGGCAAAAAAGCATTAAAATACAATGTTACTGTCACTATGATAATAACTCAAGCCCCCATTATTAACATATTGTTTCATTAAAAATATACAATGTTTTTGTGTAATCATACTGTATTTTTAATATGTTTGTAAAAACATTTGTACTTTTAAATACACCTTGGCTTTGGACTCTGAAACAAAGTTCGGCTTGATGTTGAATTTTTCAAACGAGAAATTCTGTGTCTTTTATTATTAGGTTTCCCTGGGGGAAATATGTACGAACATATATGCGTATGTTTCAAAATTATATATCATGGAAAATAGTGTTTATAGTACAATAATTTCCTTCGCGCCATGATGATTTATATCAGGCGGTCTATTTCCGCCATCGGCGGTAGAATATAGCAAAAGTACCCCATTTTCAAACCGCGATTACTCGTCGGTTTAGTGGAGCAAATTCATGTTTTAAAGTAACAGTAGAAAAAATAAATCTTCCCGAATTCGATGACGTGTTTTGTTTTTATTTTCCTAAAAAAAAAGTGAATTTGCTTCTGCATTATATCAAGGTCATTTTATTGGCGTGTCCACTGACCCGGAACAAGCTTAATTACAATACGTAATTAGCATAACTAAAAAGCAATTCCTGTACCAAATAAGTCAAAAATAGTTTAATTAGGTTCTTAAATAATACAAATATAAAAACATACCTTCGAAAAAACGAGATATACGAAGCCAAAATCGCAATGTATTTCAACAACCTTTCGCCATACGTTCGTTGAAAATCGTAATTGTGAATAATAATGAGACGCAATGCATTGTGGGAAGACCCTCATTCCTCCTCTGAGGTCGCTCCTAAATCCCATTTGAAACATTCGCGGAATTGCCGATGCATTCTTTGACCGCCAAGTTACAGCTGGGGCGAAATAAAGTAAACGGTTGACATTGAAAATGTAGAGAAAAAAGTTGACGTTGCAATAGAGAAAAAACGAAGATTTAGGAAATGGAAGAATGTTTACTTTAGGTAACCATATTCACTTCTACTTTATAGCTTATCGTTCTAAACTCAGGGTTCATACTGTACACCTTGTCCCATTCAAAATTCCATGATTTTTCCATGACTCTCCAAGACCATTTTTCAAGAAACGTCCATGACCTGGAATTCTGAAATATTGTTACGGTAACGTACATAAAGGCGCAATATATAATGAAAATACCGCGGTCAAACCTTCATACGCTGTTTTACCGAAACTATACCATTCACTGATTCACAGTTTTCTCGCAAAAATACTTACAGTACTGTGATTCATGTTTTTTTATTATGACTAAGAAATATGAAACAAGTAAAAATTTTGTACACGTAAAATTTTAATTTCCATGACTAAAACTGATTTTTCAGGATTTCCAAGCCTGGATTTTGAAATATTGCAATTCCTGAAAAAAACCCCGCTTATACCCTCATGTTTCGGGAACAATAGGGTTCACGATTGGGGTCAAGGTCAAGGAGAAACATACACGCATGCGCGGAACATGATGATGCTACCCAAAAGCCATGGGTAGAGAAAATATGTACTTGAATCTGTTGAAAAAGATTTCTAGAGTCAGTGACAGTGAAAAGTGGGACACTTACATTCGTTAGTTTTCTATAATCGCCAAATTCTCGTTCAAAACTCTCTTCCTCCCTTTCAATGTTGCATTGACTCGCGGGAAAATTATTGAAAAACAATAAAACACAAAACCAATCCGACTATTATACACATTTTAGCCTTACAAAATTGAACAGGGGGAAGAGGGATCATAGTCAAACCTCAAGCGCATCAAAACTAACATTTTCAATACTATAACTCCCTCGAACTTATTTTATACTACTAATATACACAAGATATGGCAAGTCTAACACTAGGTAAGAAATTTTGTTTTACCTGTTCTACTATACTGAGGTAAAAAGAAAAAAACTATAAATTGTCTGACATGCGGGGGATGGTTTCATGCGCGCACCGCGTGTATGAAATTAGGGAGTTTACGATCTGCGACGCGGCCGGCTCAACGACGCGGTCTAAATTTTAGCTCAAGAATGAGCGCTAAGCAATTCGATTACTGTAATAGATATTTGACTCTTTCAAATAACCTTACAAAATGCTAAGTTCGGCTAAAGCGATGCAATGTTTGCTGTAATTTAGACTTTTAGCCACCTCTTGTGTCGCGTTAAGCTTTCGCGTTGCCTGAAAGACGTAATAATGCTTAATTGTCTAACGTTGTGTTGAGAATGACAACGCGTTTGACAATACTCATGGGACCACAAATTATTGACAGTTTTTGTCTTGCATGACAAATTTCTTTGTAGGTTCTTTGTAGGTTTACATGGCGATAAAACACATAATACTATTGTTTGTGGAAACACCAAATTTCTTTGTTTTGAAAGCGCGTCGTCGAGCCGGCCGCGTCGTAGATCGTAACTACCTATTAACTCTCGGATGTCAACAAACGGAAATTGATATATGCGACACATGTTTAAAGTGCTACTGCAGCAAATTTTTCGACCCTCATTTTTTTAGCTTAATTAAAAGTGCTTTCCTTCCTGACCTGTTTACCACAAACGGAATTGAAATTGGTCAATTCAAACCGATTTTATAGCCTTCCAAAGTGGCCATTTTTGGCACTTCCTGTGCGAACTTTTGATCGGCCATGTTGATGCCATGTGACGTCATAAGATGAACACGATTTTATCATGGCGTATTAAAATTATAGTAAAACCAACAAACGCGGAGACGAAGGCCGTGTTTCTGGCAGTTCTAACTTAGATTATTGCACGAATTCTGAACAGCCTGAAGGAATACCCATGCATCCATTTCCCAACAAAGAAACAGATCCACAGAGTGAAAGAAAGGCAGTGAATTTTATCCGTAAACATTCACCGCGGGTTTTCACGCATCTGCGAACCTAGTAGTGTTTTGATTGACCCCGTCTTGAAGATTCGTGCTATATCTTATTTTCATCGACAAAACCTCGTAAAATGGAAAGAATACTGAAGGAAGAAACTGTTTATACAATTTCGATGGCTAGAATTGTTCCCCTGGCTAAAGTACAAGTACAACTAACAGACGCAAGGCAAATAATTCAGGTATATATTATAGTGAAGTACAAATTAATATGTTCGCACACTGACACATGGTGAATATTTTGCGCAAATGATGCTATATTGTTGGTCTAAAGTGTTGAACATTTCTTATGTTTTAGAGCATTTGTGGTTGTAAAAAGCCGGCTATCTCCTGTTAAGTTACTTTCTTGTCCAGAGCATCTTGAGATTGAAATAAAGACAACAATTCAGCATGCCTTGACGGCTTGACCTAGTTTCGTCAAGACTTCTGATGTTATTTTGAGAGAAACGATGACATTGGAGTTATATTCAATCATATCAATAATACATATTGCATAGTATAAAATAACAATAAATATAATAATACAATAGTATAATATTGTACTGGTACGCTATTATGTGAGAAATATATTTGTGACTTTGAAGATTAATATAATTTCAAAATATTACAGTAAATGTGATATTGCACAGTGGCACAATTTTGACTCAATGGTTAACTGATTCAGTCACAATCTGCCTAATCCAACTAAAGTCGACCGCTTTTCTGTTCAAACGTAAGGCAGCTGTGTCTTTGTTGTTGGAAATTATTTTCTTCTGTTTCCCATCCAAGTAAAACTATAGCCATCAATAGAACCACAGCCCGTAATTGCCAATTACACATATCGCTATCTATTGAAAACAAAATCAAAATCATTTTGAGTATTGCGAATTATTAGGCTATGAATATGTTTGTGTTTATAAACGTTTTTATATTTTTTGTCACACACAAATACACCAGATGTGTTCAGACACAATATCGAGGCGAGCACAATACAATTTATATATACATACATGCAATAAAAAGGATCTACTTACCACTAATTTTACAGGTATTGTACCATCGCTTGATTGCTCCAACACAGTCACAGATGGTAGTTGCCTATCTGCAGCGGCGTTATATAATTTCTCTATCACTTCGTCTAGTGAAGCTGTATAAAAGCTGTTTAGGCAACTGGTTCATCATCGTATTTCAAAGCCGACTTAGTCACTTAGCCGAGTCCATACTCGTTGACTTCCAGATGCAGTACTGACCCTATTATCTGAATCTCTAACCATCATTCCGCCGTCAAATAAACAATAAGATATAGCACTTGTTCTTCGATTTTTAAAAATAAGTTATCTGCGCCATAAACAAGTGAAACAGACAACAATTCCACTGCAATATGTTGACGCGCCATATAATTTACTGCAAATACGACCTTCATATCTTCGTTTCCGTTCATCTTATGACGTCACACGGCATCAATATGGCGACGGAAAAGTTCGCACGCGATAACCAACTTCAGAGGTTAAATTTGGCAACTTCTAAGCATCGCATGATGGTCAAATATATATCAAAATGCTTCTAAAAGACTGAATTTGTATTTAAGCTAAAAAAAACTAGGTCCAAAAATTCGCTGCAGTAGCACTTTAAGTAATTCGCTTCCTTTTCATTCAATAGATGATTTAGAATTTAATTTTATTTTCGGTAATTTTAATCGGATTCCGAGCAAAGAGGATACGGATAGACTAACGCAACTAAAATTTAACCCTTTTAACACTAACACTGACATTTTAAATCTTAACGGAAAACTCAGAATACGTAACCTGCAACTATCATCCACCGAACGACTTTCCCACAATTAATGATGAAACTACAAAAATTTAAGTATACTAAACCTTAACATTAGAAGTATAGCTAACAAGTTTGACGCATTTATTAAACATCTATTAAATACTTTGAAGCAACCTTTTTCTATAATTAGTTTAACTGAAACTTGGCTTAATGAACAAAACAGTGAAAATTTCGGCCTAAGCAACTATAATTTTGTTTGTTCAAACCGAGTAAGTAAAAGAGGAGGAGGTTTAGGTATTTATGTCTCAAATGATCTACACTACAAACTACGTCCTGACCTAAATATAAACGAGGATGGAATAATTGAAACGCTATTCATTGAATAATTTCAACCACTGGAAAAAATATTATCCTTGGTAATATCTATAGACCACCAAGTGGTAATTTTGAAATGTTTGAAAATAAACTGAACGAAATACTCTCAGAAGTTGACAAAACAAAAAAGATAACATATTTTATGGGAGATTTTAACATCGATCTCCTGAAAACTGATAATTGTGACTATTCAAATAGATTCTGTGGGCAACTTTTGACCTCATCTTTTTTTTCCACTTATTAATAGACCAACTAGAATCACCCAGCACACTGCAACCTTAATTGATAATATTTTTACCAATGACCTTGAACAGGTAGAAGCTGGCATAAATGGTTTAACTTTCTCTGACATTTCAGATCATCTTCCAATTTTTCATATATCATCCTTATCAACAAATAAAAATAAATCGAAAACGGTAAAAACACGATACAAAAGAACTATCAACGATAGTCTCGCTTCATCTTTATATCTATATAAAATATATCATGGTCACACACGTTTCAAACAAATGATCCTTGTGAATCCTATGACATTTTTCATAATAATTTAAAAGCAGCAATTGATAAGAATTTTCCTTTTGTAAAAATGAAAAACAAATCTTTTGATCATGAAAAAAGTCCCTGGATGACAGTTGGTGTTTTTAGGTCCATATCTAAGAAAAATCGGCTATATAAAACTTTTTTAAAAAAACCTCATAGAAATGAAACAGTGTACAAAAAATACAAAAACAAACTGAATCATGTTATTAAAACTGCGAAAAAAAATTATTATGAATTTTTGAAGTACGAAAACGATACGAAAATGACATGGCAAACTATTAAAAAATGTTCTAAATAGAAATAAATCTAGAGAAAAACTTCCCGACAATTTTTTACAGAAAAATTCAAATAGGAACATTACTGATCCCATTGACATTGCTAACAAATTTAATGAATATTTTGTTAAAATTGGTCCTCAACTAGCCAAAAAAATTCCGAAGAACAACAATATATCACATGAAAGGTACCTTAGTGGTAATTATGTCGAAAGCATGTTCTTTGAGCCTGTAACAGAACATGAATTACTGACTGAAATTAATAACTTAAATTAAAATAAATAGGCGAAGAAATTGTTAAACCTCTAACACATATTTATATTAAACTCAACGTTTTTAACTGGAAAAATTCCAAATTTTCTAAAAATAGCTCTAGTGACTCCTATTTTCAAAGCAAATGAAAATAATCTATTTGAAAATTACAGACCAATATCGGTTTTGACATGTTTTACAAAATTACTAGAGAAACTTATGTACAAACGACTATTTAACTATGTAGAAAAACATAACATATTATCAAATCATCAGTATCGTTTTCGAAGAAATAGATCTACAGAAGACGCCTTACTAAATCTAACCGATAAAATTTCAAAAGCTTTAGACGAAAGTAAATACACATTAGGAGTTTTCCTTGACCTTTCTAAGGCCTTCGATACGGTAAACCATGAAATTCTCTTCTCCAAACTACAACACTATGGGATCAGAGGAACATGTCTACAATGGTTTATGAATTATTTAAACGGAAGAACTCAAATAGTAAAAATTAAACAGCATAAGTCATCTGAAATGAATGTTACTACAGGAGTCCCACAGGGTTAAATTCTTGGTCCATTATTATTTCTTTTATACATTAATGACATTGAGAACTGTAGTGATATTATTTGGCATGTGCTAAAACCTGGACGATGGACTGGACGATGGACGCTGGACGATGGACGCTGGACGATGGACGTCCATCGTCCAGGTTTTAGCACATGAAATACTATCAAAATGAAGAGAAAAGTGAGATGAATATACTGGTGTACCAATATTATATCAAACGAACTGCATTTTTAACCAGTTTAATAATTTTGAGCGACTTGTTAACAATACAATTTTGCTAATTAAAACTGCACTTTAAAACCTTCAAAATAAAATAGTTTGGGCTCAAAATACTATCAAAATGACGAGAAAAATGAGTCGAATTGACTGGTATGCGGCTGAAAGCGAAAAAACCAACGATACCAAAGTTACCAAGAATCGAACGTACTGCATTTTTAATTAGTTTAATAATTTTGAGCGATTTGTCAATGCCATCACGCTTGACTTCCAAAGGCCATATAAAATCGCTAGAATTCTGTTGTTTAGTAATAACATTACTTTGACATCCGTAAGTACAATTTCGTACGCTAAATCGAACGGTGGTATTTTTGTCCTTATTGGGTGCATAAAACCAGAGATAAGGCGCAGCAAAAAGTCAATCGTGAGAGTCCGAGATTAATTCGAAAGAAAACTTTCCTCGAAAAAAGGAATTCGGAAAACATGAAGGATTAGTTTGAGCGGCTTGTCCTCCAAAGGCCATAAATCGCAAGAATAGAAATCAATTTTGAAATCAATTTTCCATCCGTAAATACAAGTTTTCACGCTGATTCGAACAGTGGTATTGTTGTCCTTGTTTGGCCCTAATTTTTCTGCAAAAATGAATAAATTTCGAGCACGTGCAAGGAATTTTACTAGGCGATTAAGAAAACGTTTGATGCGAACAAACCAACAAACTGACAAACTCACAGGCAGAATATAGCCAACATTCTTTCTCGTTTGCGTGGAAATGCAGAAAATATCGAATGTAGCAACTAAAACTCTTTCCAGCTTCTGTCACCTAAATATCCTTTACGAGGTCAGTCAGTCAGTGGTGCCACCAGAGTAATACAATTGCATGGGGCGCAGGAGGGGGAATGTCGAGCGCCGATGGCGGGAGACACTTGTAGGAGTCTCGCGCACAACGGGAAAATTTTGAAATCTTGAGTAATTGAAGTTGGGATTTCCCGAATTGCGTGGAGTATAAAGTACACGAAACACGTAATATTTCACGACAACACCTATGTATACTGCATCAAAGTTCTATACAGCTGCATCAAAATTCACCTTGAAGAAAAGGGGGCGTGGCATCCCGAGTCCTTTCCAGTAGAATACCGTTGATTTTAGTTTATTGGTGTTATTGATTTTTGAGTTTATCCGTCGATATGAAACCCTTAAATGATATTTATTATCAGGATTATAGCGCAAAATAACTATAATGAAACCGCAAGAACAAAAAAGGATCCAATATGGGAAAATGCACAACTGTCAATGAATATTTCTTTAACGCAAAAAATGAATAAGCATGAAAATAACAACAAAACAATTTATTTTCGTTTTAGTTATTGATCATTACAGTATAGTCAGTAACTAATTCTAAACAGCAAATCCTAACGATGTCACTAAGTGCTGTCTGTGAACAGACAAAAGTAAACTTCTGACACGTGCTCTCACATAAAGAAGTGACGGAAAGAAATAGGGACACTTTGATCTAATGCAATCTGTATGGCAATGAAAATACACATTGCCAACCTTCCCTTGCCTTTTCTCTCCACTTGTTAGAAAAAAATCTCGCCTCATCTTTGTTACTACAATAATGTCACCTGGCGGAGGAATCATCATACCAGGACTTCTTATTGGTTGGCCGCACCCGTGACATTTTTGTACCCGTGGATCGCAAAGATGTAACAACGTTACTTCAAATGACCCAGGATTTGGATCTGGTCTTCCGTTGTTTTGTGGACGAAATGCTGGTTGAGAAGACTGAATTCCTTGTTCTGACGAGTTGGCTGTTTCCTGCTGTACAGGAAGAGGAAATGTCGACGTAAACGTGGTGTTTATAGGCGGAATAGGAAAGAATGGCTGTGCTGTATGTTGAGGAAAATGCGTTAACGCCGACCCGAAAAAGCCCATCGTCGGCAAGCTTTGCGGTGAACAAAGTGTTGGCTGTTTTGGTGTGCTGGAAGTAGAGAGCGCTGCCGAAACTTCCGTGTTGGTTGTCGCGATGTTAGTTGCTGTATCACTTCGAACTGCTTCTGCTGGTGGCATTACATCAGGCACTCTACTTACACAAGGAAAGGTAGTCGTGACGTCTGAAATACATTTTGCATTCCCCTTACGCTTTTGGGTCGCTTTAGCTTTCTGTCCACTCGTTTTCGGCATGCCGACATTTGCCATTTTTGTAGTGGAGCCTGTTTTTTTGTTTTTTTGGAGCCATTCCAAGAATTTTCTGAGAATTCCAAGATTCTCAGCCACTTCTAATACGTGACAACAGATACTGTATTGCGGCCATCCAACACATCCCTTGTCGCACACCACCCTGCCAGTTTTGCTAGCAGTGACATTATGAGGTTTTCCAGGTGCGCGCCTCGATGCGACCATCCATACTTCGTTTTTACCATCAGGTTCAAAACTAGGTGATTTTACCACAGTATTCTCGCCTCGAACGAGGTTTGCTGCATCCTGGTACATGTCATTTAAGACAAGAAAGGGTACAGTCCCAATTTTGAAATCTTTTATCTGAACCGATAACAATGCTTCTTCTGTTGGTAAAGATACGTGTTCATCAAAAGTGTTTTCGAATTTCTTATCCGTCAAAGAACAGTTGAAGAAATTCTTTTTCACAGTCTCTTTTTGTCTTTCGTTCATTCTGAAGTAACGCTCGCCAATTTCTAGGGATTTAAAACGTTCTTTGATTTCGTATTCTCCTATTCTCATGACAGACATAAACTGCTCCTGTTCTTGCCTTTTAACAACTTTCTGGAATCGCTCGACAATGTCACACACCGACTTTTTTGCCTTTCTCGTGTTGTTACAGTCTTGGTCTTCTTCTTTCAGCACTCTATTCATGGACTCGCTTGCATTCTGAGTGTACACCTCTGGTGAAAATCCCAAACCACAAAGAGAGCGTATTTCGACCGTCATCGTTTCTTTCATGTCTGCCGCCTTTTTCTCGGCAAAATATTTAACGAATTCTGCTCCTTTGGTATGCCTTTCTTCCCAAGTAGAAATAATTTTCCCTAACGCGTCGTCGAAATCCAGTGGAGATAAACAATGAATAAGACCTCCTTCTTCACCTTTGCCAAATATATCAGCCTTGTATTCTTTTCTTAGAGAATGAGGTATGCCCAGTGAAGACAGCTTACTCAAGATATTGTCCTTCATGTGAAGATCACATCTCAAATGTACAGCACTGCTAAAAGTCCGTAACAGGGCATTTATCATATTCAATTCTCCATCGCTTCCTAGAACAAGAACGCCCGCGCATGGTGGGTGCCATCTCACCATTTCAGCTCCAAGTATCTGGTATGAGCGTTCGAGTTTAGTTTTGTGTAGGATCCCTGGACCAACAATAGCTGGAGAATTTCCACTTTTTGTTTTAAGCATTGGGTTTCGGTACGTTACAAAGGTCATGTAGTAATCACAAAGTTCAAAGGTTGCATCAACGCCGAGAACACAAAACATTTCTGGGTTTGTGCAAAATCTTTCAATATCTTTTAATTGCTGTTCGGTTGAAAGAAATATGATAGGTTCTGGAGTAACTTGAACAGAGCGAATCAACGCAGTTTTTTCATCCCGTAATTCTTCCTTGCATTTCTGCATTAGGTTAGCGAGCGGATCAGAAATCTTATCTGATTTTGATAGAGACTGTACAGTGTTATACACTTGTTTTCGGTTCCTCGGTATATCGCTTCCTGACCTAACTTTTTCGATTCCTCCAAGATCGTCTATAACATTGTGTATAATTTTTCTTGGGTCATGGGTGCTTAAATCGTTTCTAATTTTATCCAAGGTACTTTTCTTAGTGCGCATGTAAGGCTTGTTGCTTGTCTTGTTTTTTGCATGGGGTCTTGGGCACACTGTCTGCTCTCCATCTGTGAATATATATTGGATGAAGGCGTAGCGATAACAAACATGATCAGCCTCAGTCACTGTTGTTATGGTCTTTTTCAGGCTAGTAACGTTGTCGTTGGAATAGTATCGTCGCGTGAATTTAAACACTCCTGGTTTTGATTGTTTCTTTGTGTCCACTTTTTTAACTTTTCTGCTTTTTGTTTCAAAAAAGTCTGTTTTGACGCCCGTACAATGCCAAACGCCAAGGTCATCGCATTTTAAGTCCTCTATATTATCAAGACATGAGGCATCAATTAAAAATGTTGTGTTTTTACTGACGTTGGTTGGTACAGTGGTGGCGACTTTCGTTGTTTTCGAGATGTTAAGTAAAATTTCAGCAATTTCAATAATTGTTTTCCCTTTGACCAATCCCCATTCGTGCACTGGGAGACTCTCATCATTGTCATAAAACACTGGATTGGAACAATCGCTGCTAGATGAATCAGTACTTTCTGTTCTAAAAAAGAAATGCTGTAATCACATCACACTGCATTTTCTAAAATATTTTATGCATGCTATATTGGCCCAAAATAACTTGCACATGCCCAGCCATGCATATTTGGTTCCAGAAGCATTAATCAACTCAAATTTTCCCTCATACAGTATATAAGGGTAAAGTGGGGACTGATCAACTGACCGACACACCCTCTGCTCACCCTTTGTTTTTAGATACGAGCACGTGTCTAAAAACTAGACAAATGTTTACAATATATAGCAATTAATTAACTCTTACTCTCCAAGATTATCCAGACTTTCCTCTTCCTCATCAAGATTATCCAGACTTTCCTCTTCCTCCATTTTCAATGGCGAGAATATTTTTCCTCTGGATTGAAAATCATTTTCTTTCTACAGTGAATAATTGTTGACGATTAGGATTGGTTTCCATATAATAGACGAATTTGGCTAAAGTTTTTTCATATCCATTTCACAGTTTTAGATAATTGACATGCCTAGTTACCACTGTTCTAGTTTACATAAGTATAGAATTGAGAAAAGGCACCTAAGGTTTAGAATTATCTACACCAGTGAATAATTAACTCTTAAAGACCTTGACATAATTATAAAGCGTAGTTACCTATACTTCTGTAAGCTAGAACAATCGTAAATGGGCATGTCGATTATCTAAAGTTCTGACCGGACTACATTGTAAAATTTCCGGACTACATAGTAAAATTTCATCAATTAACCATTTCAATTGAATAGTTCCGCTACCCTGTGTGCAAAAGCATTAGTATCAGCCAATGGGATTAATAGAAGGTTCTGACTCTAGATGATATGGACCTCCTAGCTAGCAGATTAAAAACCCTGGGCACGCACGCTCTAATAAAATCACTCAGCATAGCAAACTATATTATCATATTTCACACCGCGATATTTACCACTCCACAGCTAATTAATTTAAATTAAGAACGTTACCCATATTAAAACTTAAAATCTGGTGAAAAACTTCATGAATCATGGACTTATGTGAAAGGTCTTGTAGAAAGGTTTGGTTAAAGGGCCAAATGTGAAAAGATATTTGGTGGTCATTAAATTTAGTTAATTTTTTTAACAGCTAGTCTATCTGTATCTGCCTCGAAATGTCGATGTTCAGGCTGTTGATATTCTTAATCCTTAAGCTATTTAAGTTAAATTACTTTGACTTGGACTTGGCCCATTACTGGTGACGATGCTCTTCGTAAAACTAGAGGGTTCCTGAACAGTTGCCGTATGCTTCCTCCATAAGCACTAAAATAACAGAACAGGAATTGAAACATATGGTTGCATACTAGTACCAGTTATCATCAGTGAGCAAAAAGTGAGAATTCATGCATGCCAAAAATGTATACACGCCGGCATACAGTATATAATTAGACTAACATGGATATGCAAACTGCACTTACTTGACCCCAATTTTATTTTTCGTCGAGGGTTCATTTAATTCTGTGTCGCTCAAAATCGTAGTAATTGAATCTGATTTCATCCTTTTTCAGGCCATAATAGTAGAACCATCGTATAATAAAAGATAAAAATAAACAAATGATGAAAACGCAAAACTAAAATGTGTTATCCAACCATAGCATTTTCCATACAATCGCAAAAACAGTGACATTTTTAATCTTAAATTGAATGCAATTTCTTCTATATTTATATCATTGAATAGATGCATATTTGCACTTTTACTAATATTGAGGTGCTCTTTTCATTTCTGGGGTTCATTTTGGCACAGCTGCCAGTTTCAATGAGGCTGAGGTCGTGTTACCAAATGTTGCAAAAAAACACTGCCCCATTATACTTAGACTGTTATAATTGTTTTTCAGATCTTCTTCTTTCACTTTTGCTTGTGTTGCTCAGCTAGACTATGTATTGTTTCGCAATTTTGGCATTTATTAAGACAACTTATTTCGTTTTGTTCTTTTGGTTATTGTTTGCTAACGTTTTCTGTCTCAAAATAAATTTAACTTGTTAACAACCACCAAATTAAGGTCTAGCTGATTGTGCAAGGGCGTCATGAAGGTGGGGGATACGCCCCCTCAATTTTGGACGTTCCTAATAATTATAATCTATTTCAAACACTCATTAATAATCCATAAGCTTATTGGCAAATCATGTCAACCATAATATGTCACGTGCAGTGGCTTTAAACCTGATAAAACACTCCTAATTAGTATTCTTTATATAAAGAATACTAATAAGGCAGTATATATTGTAGTCGTGTCCTCATTAGTATTCTTTTATATAAAGAATACTAATAAGGCAATATATCTATTGAATTTGTAGTCGTGTTTGAAGCTGTTTAATAAACTCGCAGGTCGTGTTTTATTGGGTCCAAAGCCACTTTCAACCTAATAAAACACTCTTGCTCGTTTATTAAATAGTACATAATAAATTACGTTTTGGATATTGGAAACACATTTTTTTCTTGACTTAAGTTTAATATCACATTTCAATATTACAGCTATTCAATTATTTGTCATTGTTCATTTTCGTTTCAGTGAAGCCCATAGGCTACCAAGTAACAAGCTAACAAACATATATACATTTAAAATACTCATTAAAAAATCATAAACCTTGTAGCAAATCATGTCAGCCATAATATGTCACGTGGAGTAACTTTATATATGATGAAACTCATCTTTATTAGTATTCTTTATATAATTGTTCATCCTAATTAGTATGATTATATAATTGTTCATCCTAATTAGTATTCTTTTGTAGTCGTATTTTAAGCTATTGAAAACACTCGAACTCCGCGCGTTTTATCATATCTAAAACGCTCGGCTGCGCCTCGCGTCTTAAATATGATGAAACACTCCTTCTCGTGTTTTAAATACTACTTAAGGTGGCTCAATACAGTTTTAAAAAAAATGGAAAATTCACGATTTAGATGCGTATTTTTGGACAATTATTACTTGTTGATAAACAAAAAGTACCTTACTTATATAAAACAACATCTAAAGAGCTTGCACTTTTGCACAAAAGCTGATATGGCAACAATGATGTTTCAAGATGGCAGATATTTTGACTTTAAAGTAATTTAACTCGTACACGACATCGGTGACCTCCACTTTTTATTTTTAAAAGTGATTTCTCTTAGTATATTGAATCACGTCGACAATTTTAAAATTATAATGAATAATCACCCTTACGTAATTCTAAAAATGCAGAATTTTTTTTAAATTGTTAACGTGATTCAATAAACTAAGCGAAATTGGTTTTTAAAATAAAATTTGAAGGTCACCGATGTCGTTTACGAGTTAAATTATAACTTTAAAGCCAAACAATCCGCCATCTTGAAACGTCATTGTTGCCATAGCAACGACAGTTGCGTAACTTTTGTGCAAACATTCAAACTCTTTTATATATGTTATTTTATATAAATAAGGTACTTTTTTGTTTTTCAACAAAAACGCATCTAAAGCATGAATTTTCCATTTTTTAATAAAAACTGTATTGAGCCACCTTAAGTAACCAAACAGAGTGTTGAAGCCAAGGAAAAACTCAAATCAACTCACTCCTTTTTATTTGGTGATCCGCTTTCAGAATCACTGGAGATTATCAAAACTTCATCTACAGCTCTGTAAAATTGATAATGCAACATGCAGTCAATACTATTGTTTTTCGGCCTTTTTCCACTTTTAGACAAACTACCAACTATGTGAATTCAATTGCAACATGCAGCTGCAAACAATTTCCTAGCACCACATTAAGCTTAATCTATAATTACCTCTTTAGTGCTTTCTTCCACATCTTGCCTGAAAAAGAAACACAAATTAGTTAAATAATAAGTTAAGTAGGCCTAATTAGTTAGTTAGTTAATTAGTTATACTTAATGTCTTAAGACATTCCATTTTATTTTCGGTACTGCTTGTGTTGCACATGACAACGCATACAAGCACTTAACCCGAAATCAAACAGGGATAAACAGGGACGTTGGAGCGAGGGTATGGCACAGTGGGTAATATTGACGTAAGGGCAATGACTAATGAATATTTCGTTTCACGAAAATGTTGCTAAGCAGGAGGAGTGTGGTGGAGGGTGGAGATTTTTTCTTGTCAAATATTTGTGAAAACATTGAATATTTTCATTCGAGACTGCTATATTTATCAGCGATACAACTATAACCACAATGGAAAGCGCTACGAAAACGTAATAAGGAGAATCTAGAATTGCAAAATATTATTTGAGATTTCTAGCTCTTAAATATCAAGTTTGAAAACGATTTTACTAACCTTTTTCAGTACTTCTTGGTACGTATGTCGTAGCTTGAGCAGAAGATTCTCTACAAGTACAAATGTCGGTCCGGTTATTTACGCACGCCAATTATTGAAGGCCCCATTGAAAACGAAAACTGTTTTGCTACAAACTATAACTTATACAGTACTTGCCCAGTGATTTGGGGGATTTCGGGGTCTGACACTCCTTGTAACTTCGCAGAAGAAATCCTTTTTCCTGAAGAAAGATGAATACACGTGTTTCAACAACACACGAGGTGTTTAAATTACCGTATATATATATTTAAGTGCTTAATAAATATCTAAAAAATGCATGTAAAACATTTTCATTTCAATTTTATTGTTACTTTACCTTGTAAAACTTCTGAGTAGGTATATTCCATGGTGATTTGAACGTTAATCACAGGCCACGATAGCCTGCGAACAGGCTCACTGGGAGAAAGGTGAGCCTGCACGGAACCATGCGTTTTATTCAATCATCCCCTTTTCGCATCTGCGAATCGCGAACCAATCAGCGTCGACTGCGATAAATAAACTGTCAACTGTCAAATTGACGCAAGGCGTGTACATAATGTATAATACAAAGCATTAGCGGGCCGCACAAAATATTACTCGGAAAAATATAGAATTCTTCAAATATTAAATAGATATCAATACACATATATATATAAAGCCGAATAAAATACTACCATTGGCATTGAATCAATATACAGTAATACTTGTACTATGTGCGACTGAAAGAACAAAATTGTTCTGAATATTTGAAGCTATTACTAAAATACGGTCAGATAGATTGGGATTTGGAATACCGAATACGTCTAAAATTTTACTAACTGTGGTCTAAATAAATGATAAATGAGCATGTATTTATTAATTTCTTCGAAATCACGAGTGTGCCAATAGTGGAAGCATAGTGGTGGAAGCCGTATCGACGACGAAATTGTCAGCAGTTTATACAGTAAATAGTACAGCGTTTAATGTACGATATATATTTATATCTAAATGACATGCCAGCGAGGATCAACAATATAATTATTCGTACACATTTGGGTATCTTTTGTATACCTTCGCTCGCTGACTTGCTCACTAATGAGAATAATCCGTGAAGCCACGACGACCTCAAAATGTACTATACTTAGTCTGATGTGACTGATGTCAATCCGAAGACGAAGTTCAGAATACTGTTATAGTTTCGTATATTGGATTTAAGCGATAGATTCAAGTCATTTATGATAGACTTTTTGCTGTGATGCTTTGCTATTGCTTTTGGTTTCCATTTCTAGTTTTATTTGTTCGATAGTCTTATAAGACTTATAATATATAATATTAAAATGAATAAAGTTCAAATTCTTCAAAATGCTGTTGTTGACATTTGCTATTTTTAGTAATTTTGTCAACGAGTGTAAGCCAATCAGAAGCCTGCGTTTCTATACGAACGCCACTACCAAGAAAACCTATAGTTCCGTGCAGGCCCTCTATTCTTCGCGCCGCCCGTAACCCAGGGCCTGTTCGCAGGCTAAGGCCACGATAAAGTGCAACGTCGAGAATTGTAACATTGATTAAAATGTTGTAAATTTGTAAAATTTCTATTTAATTAACTGTCAATCAAATTTCAGTAAGTAAGTAAGTAAGTAAGGTCATTAAGGTGTGTCAAATTGATAGTATAGTGTCTATAATGACAAAGTGATAGCCGGAGACTGAATTTGGAGACTGAATTTGTTGAAACGGCTGTAACTACAATCAAAATCGTCCATCGTCCAGGTTTTAGCACAAATGCTAAAACCTGGACGATGGACGTCCATCGTCCAGCGTCCATCGTCCATCGTCCAGTCCATCGTCCAGTCCATCGTCCAGGTTTTAGCACATGCCATTTATTTCTTTTGTTTTATATGCTGATGATACAAATGCTTTCTATTCAAATTCCTGCTTGAAATCATTATCTAGTACTATACAAAATGAACTTGATAAGGTAGTTCAATGGCTCAATGCAAATAATCATCCAAAACAAAAATTGTAATTTTTAAGTGCAAAAATAAATCACTGGATTCACAGATAACAATAAAAATAAATGATATAATTAAGCAGGTGCCTTCCGTGAAGTTCTTAGGTGTCACTATTGATCAAAAGTTGACATGGACTAACCACATCAACTCAGTTTTAAAAAGCATAACTAAATCTACAGGTATGATTGCTAAATTAAGACATTATACAAATAAAAACACTTTGAAATTGATTTACTATGCATTGGTCTATCCATACCTTACATACGGAAATCTAGTTTGGGGTAATACATATCCAACAAGATTACAGAATTTATTAAAGATACAAAAGAAAATTGTCCGGCTAATGTGTTTTAAATCTTATACAGATCATTCAGAACCTTTATTTTTTAATCTTAAAATCTTGAATATCTACAAAATTAATGATCATCTTTGCAGTCTATTTATGTATCGCTGCATGAATTATGATCAAAATTTGCCAAACCTTTACAATTGTCATTTTATTCAAAATAAAGAATTGCATAATTATAATACTCGAAACTCTTCAAAATTACACGTTAGTTACAAAAGGACGAACTATCGTGTTCACACTGTTTTTAACAAGGGAATTTCGATATGGAATTGTCTTGATGAAGAAATTAAAAATCAAAAATCGTATTTTTCCTTTAAGAAAAAAGCAAAATTAAATTACTTGTTAACATAAATATTGTTAGCTAAAACATGTACAGGGTGTATCAAAAAAAAGGTAATCGAACTTCAGCGCGCTATTATACGTGAATTACTCCGCGTATGAACAATTGGTTTTCATATTCGGAAAGATCAGGCTTTTAGCTATTGAATGACATGCTTTTTATACCAAGTGGAAAAAAAATAAGCATGTACGAGGCCGATTAAAAATGTTAGTTAAAATCGCATATTTTCACCTCTGTGTCTAATTAAAACAATGCATAACAAAAGAAAAAAGCAATTAATCACGAACGTGTCGTAGCTTAGCTAAGATTATGAATATGTGTGCAGTTTAATGAAGTGAAATTGATCAACTTAAGTCCTAAAGGGAATTCATTTTCAATGGTTTTAGACCTAACTCTCAACGGTGAAAATATGCGATTCTGACTAAGATTTTTTATCGGATTCGTATTTGCTCATTTTTTATCCATTTGGCATGAAGAAGATGTCATTTAACAGCTAATAGCATGATCTTTCCGAATGTGAAAAAATCTCGTTCATACTTAGAGTAATTCAGATACAATAGCGCGCTGAAGTTCGATTACCTTTTTTTTGATACACCCTGTATTATATATATTGAACCAATTTAGATTCATATATTTTATTTTAATCAAAACAATATAGGGGCCTTATATCAAAAGTCCAACAGGATTTCAAAAGGTCCCTAGCTCCTTTATATTATTGTATTTTAACTATATTCCCATTGTAAATATTTTTGTGAGCAAATATATTCTATTCTAATTCTAATTCTAATAGTCCTTAAGCCTGGTTTCCATTTGGTCGACACTTTCGGGACCAAATCATGGTCACCGATATAAAATAGTCTGGAACTGTCTTATCTCTTGTGTGCTGTAGGGCAAATTAGTCTTGACTGCATGATTACAAACATTTGTTAGCATTCCAATACGCCGGTCACCTTGATGTTATACGATCTGCGCTCCTTCGCCCAGCGGCTACGCTCGTGTTCCAAGATCCGCCATGTAAAGTGCAGTGAAATGTATTTCATCGTAATATTAAATCCTAAGAAAACTAAAGCCTCTGCGGAGGAGAGAGCGATTATATGGAACCTTGAGGCTTATACGATTAAATGGAACTACGATCATTATAGTCTAGGACATGTATATGAGTTTGTATGCATTTCATTTACCACAGGTAATCTCAACTGTTTTAGGGTAAAATGACCATGGCGGTCAACATGGCATATGTGCCAAAACCTGAATCCGGGACGAAAGTCCTGAAAATGACCCCGCCCTGAAACGGCAGTGCCGACATAGCTCTAACTTCCGAAAAGCAAAAGCGACAGCCTTTCTGAAGTGCTTATAGTGTTTAGAAGGGTTGTTTTTAGGGGTGGCCATTGGAAGGAAAAATTTGTGTAAGTATAATATTTTACAAGAAAATAACCATTCATCACTCCAGGTAAATTGCTGATTATGCAGAAAATAACTAATATACCTGGCAGAAATTAAATATCCTTATTTCCTAAAAAAAAATATCATGGGATGAAAAACTATGCTTAATTTAATATAATTATTGTAGTTTTCATAAGGATAGTCACTGTTTTCTATAAATATAATATATTTTATTTCACTTACCCCCCACGAAAACACGATTTCAGCCATATTTTGCGCTCTTGTTTGCTTTATATCGCCGTGTCTCGCAAATAACATCCAGTTGTTGTACTTTTGCATAATGGCAAATGGCTAAAGAAGATTTCAACCAAGTTTCGGCAAGTTTTGGAGCAGTGCAGTGTATTTTATCTTCGATATTGTGTCCTTCGATATTTCGTCCAATATGCCGCCATTTTAATGGCTTGCCGATTCTCTGCCCGATAAATGCCACTTCTTCGTCTTCATATGTATTTAGATTACAATATCCAAGAGTACTTTATTGTAGAATAGTCCTAATCAAAATATTGAAAAGATTACTTGCACTTGGAAGGAAAAAACCTCCCACAACAAATTCGGGATAGGAATAAAAACAAATCATTTGAAAATCACGCGCAATCTTCGCGAAAATTCCTCGACAGGGGGGGGGCGAATATTTTCACGAAACGTTGTTCGCCACAGCGACCTAACTGGATGTCTGGATATATTATATTTATTGCATTTTTATGATTGATAATAAAAATACGTAAATATTTATTGTTTTTAATTTTTATTTTTAAATCATAAAATACAATAAATACTATTGTATTTAGTTGAAACATGAATTGCTGTGGTGGCGAACAACGTTTCGTGAAAATATTCGCCCCCCCTGTCGAGGAATTTTCGCGAAGATTGCGCGTGACTTTCAAATGATTTGTTTTTATTCCTATCCTGAATTTGTTGTGGGAGGTTTTTTCCTTCCAAGTGCAAGTAATCTTTTCAATATTTTGATTAGGACTATTCTACAATGAAGTACTCTTGGATACTGTAATCTAAATACATATGAAGACGAAGAAGTGGCATTTATCGGGCAGAGAATCGGCGAGCCATTAAAATGGCGGCATATTGGACGAAATATCGAAGGACACAATATCGAAGATAAAATACACTGCACTGCTCCAAAACTTGCCGAAACTTGGTTGTAATCTTCTTTAGCCATTTGCCATTATGTAAAAGTACAACAACTGGATGTTATTTGCGAGACACGGCGATATAAAGCAAACAAGAGCGCAAAATATGGCTGAAATCGTGTTTTCGTGGGGGGTAAGTGAAATAAAATATATTATATTTATAGAAAACAGTGACTATCCTTATGAAAACTACAATAATTATACTAAATTAAGCATAGTTTTTCATCCCATGATAATTTTTTTAGGAAATAAGGATATTTAATTTCTGCCAGGTATATTAGTTATTTTCTGCATAATCAGCAATTTACCTGGGGTGATGAATGGTCATTTTCTTGTAAAATATTATACTTACACAAATTTTTCCTTCCAATGACCACCCCTAAAAGCAACCCTTCTAAACACTATAAGCACTTCAGAAAGGCTGTCGCTTTTGCTTTTCGGAAGTTAGAGCTATGTCGGCACTGCCGTTTCAGGGCGGGGTCATTTTCAGGACTTTCGTCCCGGATTCAGGTTTTGGCACATATGCCATGTTGACCGCCATGGTCATTTTACCCTAAAACAGTTGAGATTACCTGTGGTAAATGAAATGCATACAAACTCATATACAGGTCCTAGACTATAAGAGAAAAGCAAAATGCAATACCATGAATTAACCGTTTCCATAGACACAATGCACTCCGACAATGCTTTAGTTGCTTTGGAAAATCTTTCTTGCACTTTTGGTAATATTTGCTCGTTTTCCCTTTGCTCATGTTGTTCCACAGTGTTTTGAACTTCTACAAATAGAAGCAATGTCAGATTTAGAAGTTGGCAAATATAAATTAAAGTATAATGGATTACTTGACCAATTAATTATACGTACAGAATAAGTAATCAATAAATTTACATTTATATTGACAATTTTCGCTCGTTCATTTTCGTGTCATAATTTCAACTAAATCACTGCACTTTCCGCTTATTATGATATAAACTGTCGTCAACAATTGCAGTAGAAATTTGTATATCTCAACGATAAACTTTCAATTGAGACCCTGTCTTGACATGAATCGACTGCGACAACGTGAATTCACTGCTCTGAAAACAAACTAAGTGGCTTGTTGTCTCTAAACAATCCCAGTAAATCTCTGTCTCGGCTCATGATAACGTTCTCAGCTCCTTAGTCAAAGTTCCCTGTATATTGGGGGGGGGGGGGTGGAAGATTCAAAC